ACAAAGGAAAGTATGGTTGAGCCCCAAGTGGTGGTGGCCTCCAGGCTGATGGATGGGCCTTTCCTTCACCCCTTCACCTGGCTGCTTGCTAGGAGAACAATAGCCTGAGAGTGGGGTGTGTGGTCTGAGCTAGAAGCAAGCTGGAAGCTGGAGATACAAAGAGATGTTGGCTCTGTGCTGGGTTTTGGGGCTCACCTGAAAACCTAATGGGGAAGCAAGATCTGTCTTATGCTCAGGTTATATATTGTTACACTACCCTGAACACCCCTGATCTGGTCTGGTCTCAGAAGCTAAGCAGGAGCAGGTCTGGTTAGTACTTGGATGGGAGACCACCTGGGATGCCGGGTGCCTGCCTCTCTCTCTCTCTCTGATGAGTGGTGGCAAGAGCCCACAGGGTCCCAGGCACTCACACAGGGCCTGTGCTCCTTTAGAGAATCGAAGGCGCCGCGGAAACTGCCGTGGCTTTTAGAAATATGGTTCATTCACCTATTTACACCTTCAGTCTTCATGAAGGGAGTCCAAAACTTACAGCATAGTCCTTTCGAGAGGTGCTAGTACCCCACAGCAGCAGCACAGGTAGCCTTCAGCCAGCCTGCCCAAGATGGATCTCAGCTCTTTTTCCAGCTTCTCCCTCCCAGCAACCCTTGCTTGAAAACTCCCATTTCCTGTCCCATCAAATACACACACCCTCACCTTGGCAACCCTTCAAACCCCCATCTTTGTTCATACCTCAGGGTAAGGGGGAAGGAGTTCTCTTGCATTGGCAATGGTCTTCAAAGGACCCTCAATGACCCTCTGTTGCTCCCTTAATGGCCCTAGCTTGGCCAGGCTACCCAGGAATTCATCTGCAGCTTATATTTCTCTCTTCCCACCCCAAATAACCACAATCCTTGCATTCATTAATTTCTAGGGTTCAGGGGATCCCCCAAATCTATAACAATATATATGTGTTTGAATAGAACCATTTTGTTGCATTTACCCAGGTCTGGTTTCCTTGGAATGTAGGTCAGTGGAGACTGCAGTCTCTTTAGTGGCAAAATCTTTTAAAACACATTTCCTTAAAATAAACATTGCCTGTCAAAATGTGTGTTTCTAAATGTGCATCTCCAAAATATGCACTGTTAAATGTACTTTTGATATGTTCCTTGAGCCGAGATCTGCGTTGCAGCATTCAGAGAAGTGTGAAATAGGATGCATAGCTAAGATGCAACCTGCAGATATTCATTCAGAAGGGGCAGATCAGATCATGATGGACCAGCAGGCACAATGATCTAATGCCTGAAATACTTCCCCTCTGAGTAAAAGTTGCAATTTTTTTTTGGGGGGGGGTTAGTTTGGAAGAAAGGGACGCAGGTGGCGCTGTGGGGTTAAACCACAGAGCCTAGGACTTGTCGATCAAAAGGCTGGCGGTTCAAATCCCTGCGACGGGGTGAGCTCCCGTTGCTCGGTCCCTGCTCCTGCCAACCTAGCAGTTTGAAAGCACGTCAGAGTGCAAGTAGATCAATAGGTACCGCTCCAGCGGGAAGGTAAACGGCGTTTCCGTGCGCTGCTCTGGTTTGCCAGAAGCGGCTTAGTCATGCTGGCCACATGACCTGGAAGCTGTACGCCGGCTCCCTCGGCCAATAAAGCGAGATGAGCGCCGCAACCCGAGAGTCGTCGGCGACTGGACCTAATGGTCAGAAGTCCCTTTACCTTTACTAGTTTGGTCCCTTTACCTTTACTAGTAATGGTCAGAGGTCCCTTTACCTTTACTAGAGGTCCCTTTACCTTTACTAGTAAGGACGAGGAAATAAAAGAAGTTATGGTGAAATGGGCGATAGATCTGGGATATAATTTGGAATACGATAGTTGGATTAAGCTCTGGAATAAAGATATGAAGTTCACTGCTTGTGTTGCCTTAAGAGAAAACATGGAAAAAATTATGTACAGATGGTACATCACCCCTGTAAAATTAGGAAAAATCTATAAGAATGGAGATAAAATGTGCTGGAGGTGTAAAAACAAGGAAGGTAGTTTTTACCACATGTGGTGGACTTGTGAAAAAAATCAAGAACTTCTGGGAGCTCATTTATAATGAACTAAAAAAAATGTTTAAATATACTTTTGTTTAAAAACCTGTAAATTTTCTTCTGGGAATGATTGTCAATGAAATTAAGAAAGAGGACCAGACCTTATTCCAGTACGCAACAACAGCTGCTAGAATTTTAATTGCCCAAAATTGGAAATCAACCAATATCCCAACAGTAAGAGATTGGCAAAGTAAATTATTTGAATATTCAGAATTGGCAAAATTAACACAAAAAAGTAGAGACCAGAAAGAAACAAAGTTTATTAAAGAATGGAATAAATTCATAACCTATATTGAAGAAGATTTAAAAAATCCAAAGATCACAGTAGTCTTAATATAACCCTTTGACATACAAAATTTTTTAAAAAACCGGGGGGGGGGGGGAAGTATTACATAACCCAAAACTGAGGTGGAGGGAAGTCAATAACTTACATGTTTGTTTGTTTGTTTGTTTTTGTTTTCTTATAATTAAGTTATGTTGTTCTTATTATTGTTTCTTTTTTGTGTGAAGAATTTATTTTCTGTGCATATGTGTGTATATGTGTGTATGAAAATTAATAAAGAGAAATTATAAATAAATAAATAAATAAATACCTTTACTAGTTTGGAAGAAAGTCAGTTAAGTGGGGCTGGCAGAAGAGGAAGCACTGGAAGGTGTGGGAGAGCAATGTGTGGGAGAGAGATGTATAAGATTTATCCACCATAAGGTAGCTTGAGAGGAAACTATGTCCCTCTCTCATGATACCAAAACCCAATAGGGCCATCCAGTGAAGCTGAGTGATGGGAGATTCAGGACAGACAGACAAAAGAAATGAGCTCTTCACACAATGCATAGTTAAACTATGGAATTCACAGTGTAATGATGGGCATCAACCTGGATGGCTATAAATAGGAACTGGGAGATAAGAAGGCCAGTGGCTACTAGCCACAGTGGTCATGTTCTTCCTCCATAGTCAGAGGAAGCAACGCTTCTGAATACCAGTAGCTGGAAACCACAGGAGAGGAGAGGGCTCTTGTGTTCAAATCCTGCTTTGGTTGGTTTCCCATTGAGACATCCGATTGGCCGCTCTGAGACCAGGATGCTGAACTAGATGGTCCCCCTTTGGCCTGATCCAGCAGCAGGTTGTGCCTATATTTCCATTCTGAGGTCTGAATTCTGCCTGTTTTTTTTCTTGCATAGGTGGAATGTCTGGTCAACACAGACTGGCAATCAATGCTAGCCAAAGATGGCTTGACTGGTGTGCAGGTGAATGAGCCCTTAATAGCACAGTCAACATTCTTAGGTTCAATAATTATTGCCTGAGTAGATGAAGAAATAGAAGGAGGGGGAAATAGTGGTATGAGTAGATCCAGGTCTTCTTCAGAATTTGCCAGTGGGTCATCCCATTTCCTGTCCATCTAGGACCTTGTCTGGATATTTTTGACACAGCGCCACCTAGGGGAGTGCCCTCCTCTTCACAGCCACATGCCCATGTGTACACATGCCCATGTGTTCTTGAAACAGTGACACCCTGTGGCCTAACTTCATCTTCACATCCACTATGTCCATGTGTGTTTTAACTTATTCCCAGAACAAGACAAGATTGGTTAAGAATCTGATCTTCCGGCAGATAAATAGACTTTAAATAACACTTCCCCTGAAGTGTGCAAAAATCTGTATGTGAACACATGTTCAACGAAGTCTCCAGATGGTGGGCTTTTAATTCTTAAAGGAAAATATCAGATTGCCCACAGGCTTTAGGTGGCTTTTGCTATGGATGATATTTCCTTCCTATATACATAAAAACGTAAGGTTGTCGTCATGCTGAAGTTCATGTGGCTGCTGATAGGGGGCCGCACCAACTCCAGCTTCATGACAGAGCAGCAGGCAGGTGAGCAAGCAAGCAGTGTGGCCATGTGAGCTGTTTAACAGAAAGAGGGTCTTCAGAGAAGGGTTTGTCTAACTGCCCCCTGAAGCACCTCCCCCCGGCATTAACTATGGCTGCCATGAGGTTTAATGAAGGGGGGAGGCACTTCTGAAGGTCAAACCACTCTCTGAAGTCACTCTCCTCCTCCTTTAAAAAGGGTTGGTGTTTGGGGTGAGATGGGAGGAGAGGGTGGTGGGGTAAATTCTGAGGGGAGATGAGTTTGGGGTGAGCTGTGAGGGGATAAGTGAGGGGGCAGGTGGGGTATAAAGGGAGGGGGAATTGGTCAGATGTAAAGGAAGTAGGAGTTGACTACCTAGTTGTCATGGAAGGGTTGTCAAATGGAGTAAGTGGAATGGCAGCCCCTACTACTACTACTATAAACATAAAACACAGATATTTAGAACACTCATATCCAACTTAACAGTATGTTCAATGGGAAATTCTTCTATTGAGTAAAAAAAGTGGTTGGGTCCACTCTGCTAGCTCTGCAGAGTCAGCTAGCGGGATTGTTGCCTAAAATATCATGGTTGTGAGTATTATCACAACACTGGAGACTCAGTTTTCAATCAGGTTGGTGACCTACCTTTTGTGGGGCAAAACCTGTACAGTGGTACCTCGGGTTAAGAACTTAATTCGTTCCAGAGGTCTGTTCTTAACCTGAAACGGTTCTTAACCTGAGGCATGCTTTTGCTAATGGGGCCTCCTGCTGCCGCTGTGCCGCTGGTGCATGATTTCCATTCTTATCCTGGGGCAATGTTCTTAACCTGGAGCAACCACTTCCTGGTTAGCAGAGTTTGTAACCCGAAGCGTCTGTAACCTGAAGCTTCTGTAACCCGAGGTACCACTGTAGTTTAACAATGTGCTGCATGAAAAAGTACTTTCTTTTAGACTGTGCTATGTCTTCCAACACTCTAAGCCTAGGGCTAGGAAGAAAAATAATTGTGCCCCGCAAACCCCTATGTTTTGTGTACAAATCTCTTTTCTCTGATTATTACTGTTCCATTCCCTTTCTGTATCATCCTCAGATCTCATCTCTGGCCAGTCACACACCCCTCCTCGCCAGGTGAACGGGGTCCTGGGAGGTTCGGTGGCCCTCTCTGTGAACATTGGTCCACAGGCCAAGTTGAAGGAGATCGAGTGGAGCTACCGGGCTGGATCTGGCCCAGCGCTGCTGGTGGCTTTGTTTCGGGATGGGAAATTCGAACGGCCTGATCCTGGTGACCGGTTTAAGCAGAGGATAGAAATGTACAATGAGACGCTCAGAATCAAGGCATTGGAGCTGAATGACAGCGGTGTCTTTGGGGCTCGAGTGAAGTTATTCCCAGCTATCGTTGAGGATCAGATCTTCCGCCTCATGGTCTATGGTGGGTCATTAGGCTGTATCCAACTAAGTTATACTCCATGTTGACTCATAGAAATTAATGAACCTGAGTTAGTCATGTCCACTCATGCATATTAAAAATAAAATAATCAGCAGAATTTCAATTTTTAGCCCAATTATCATCTCTCTCCCTGTTTTACCAGAAACAGTATACTTTTGTTTATTCAGTCGACAGTACATAAACATCAGATACAGGATAGGGTTATCCAGGCAAGGGATCTGTTCACATTAATGCAGAATTTCCTAAAGAAATGAGTGCCAAAACACAGCCATCCTTCAAAATCTGCCCTTCTCTGAATTTTGCAATGCAGTTCTTTAACCAAGTAATATGGACAAAAATGCCTAGGCTGGGGTAGGTTTTCCATTTTAAAAAATGCAAATATTTGTTACAGTAACATACAAAATGCATTTTAGGGGAAATTGCATGTAAAAAAAAGTGTATATTAGGAGAAATTCACACTAAAATGCTGTTACGATTTTTAAAACTGATGTGTAGAACTGAAATTAAGATTGGGAAAGGGAGAATTTGACAGTTTTCCCCCTCAATATTCAAGACAACCACAGTAGAAGAGTATGTGTATGTATATATATTTATGCACCCACACATTATATATTTTTAAGTAAAGCAGGGTTGATGAGCAATCAAATGTAGTTTTAAAAAATTCAGACACTTTCGACTCTGCATTCATATTTCCTTTAACAGTTGTGGCCTAGTTTTGATGGCTATGGAAAGGATCTTGGCTGTATTTTCAGTAAGCTTTGGATTACTGAAATTCAGTAATCTTAGGATCTGCCATTAAAACAGAATCATAAAATTCATCTGAGTTTCCACAAGTGTGTGGGAAGCACTGTGGAGACAAATTGGGATCTTATATCCCTATGAAAATTAACATCCATGCACAAAATTAAAAAGGCAAATGTGTTAATCTCATCTGGTCTTTTAGCAGAACCAACATTAGCCGCAGCTCATTACTAAGAAATATTTAGGGGTTGGGAGGAAATGGGAGAGCTAATTCCCCTTCTCCATTGTGCTTTGGATACTGGATTTATTAAAGCATTGCAAACTCGTGACTGGGATTTCTGAAATGCAGGAGTCTGCAGTTTTATTGTGCTTAGAGGCAGAGTGTAGCTGTGTGAGAAGTCAGTTTCAAGCAGAAATGTAATGTCCTGTTTAGACGGCAAGAGGGAGCCCCTGGCTCCCAATTCCTGAGAGTGACTTTGTGACTTCTGTTCAAACTTCATGTTGGCTGACATCCACCACATAACATTTTACACCTGTCCTCATCATTGGCACCCAGAACCTGTCTCTACTCCGCGGATACAGAGCCAGCTGGTCTCCAGCACGTCCAAGTGGTGCAATGTGACGCTCCAGTGTCTCTCTCCGGGAAAGGAACAGGTCAACGTCACTTGGAGGAAAGGAAACCCGATCCGGGATCTGGGGAGCTCCGACAGATACCAGGTCTCCCCTGACGGCAAGACTCTCCGCCTCTCGCTGCTGCCTGCCTCCCTGAACACCACCTATTCCTGCACGGCCAGCAACCCCATCGAGCACAAGATCGTGTCCTTTGACTTGCAAAGGATCTGCCAGAGTGGAGGTACAGAAAATGAATTTTTCCCACACTGAACACTTTTCAAAATACTTCTCTTGCTTTTCCAGCTTTATCATCCACACAAAGCAAGTTATAAGTTCCTCTCCCCAGGGAGGCTCTGGCCTGGCACCATCATTGCATGTCTTTATGTGCCAGGCAAAAAAATTCCTTTTCCACCAGGCCTTTGCCTTGTAATTATCTATATGGCAAGGTTTCTTAATCTATATCTCCTTCTACCAGTCCACAATAGAAAGTGTCCTTTCCTACTGCATCACGGTGTGGTACGCTGGTTTGACATCATCTGATAGGAAGTGCCTACAGAGGGTGGGGAATACAGCACAAGGTATTATGGGCTGTCCCGTGAATCCGCTGGATGAAATAGTGGAAGAATGTTGCCTCAGGAGAGTGAGGGAAATTCTCAGGGATGATTATTCACACCCTGGCCGGCACTTTCTTTATCTCCTGCCCTCAGGCAGAAGATATAGAAGCATTATTAGTCGCACCAACAGGGTAAAGAACAGCTTCTATCCGTGGGATGTTAGGCTGTTGAATGAAAAGATAACAACAGGGCAACTGACTTTTGGGTTTGGTGGGTGTGCATCAGTAAACGAGGGGGATTAAGACTAAGAGAGATGAGTGGGGGGTGATGGTGTCATCTCACTGTATACAAGTTGTACAAGTGACAATAAAGTATTTCAATTTCAATTTCCCAAACTTTTTGGACTACAATTCCCATTATCCCTGACCAGTGTCCTGCTGGGAATGATGGGAGTTGTACTCCAAAAAGAGCCAGGTACCCTGATCTGTGGCCTTGTTGTGTAGTTTGGATGTTTTAATGCCCCCCCACGTGGTATTTTGGTTTTTGAGCGTCTTGATGTTGGTCGTGTTTTCCCTGGAGGGGGTTTGTCACAACTTCACCAAATTACACTTGGGAAATCATTGTTCATGCTTTTCTTAATACTTCAGGCTTTGGTCATTTTACAGTACAGCAGGCCCAAAGCTTATGCCCAATTCCCTTACATGATCACAGCCTTGTTCACTTTGTTGAAAAATAAAAAAATAGAAAGAGGTTGGGAGATGGGCGGAAATCTCATCAGAAAGAGCTATGAAACGTTTAACAGCACTGCATGTCAATGATCAAATATAGGAGGCCCACAATTTATGAGGAGATTATGTTTAGACGGGAGTCAATGGAGCACCCCACAATTGCCTAGCCTTGACTCCCATAGGGGGGTCGCAAGCAAGAGACTTCAGCCAGGAGATAGAAGCAAAACAGCGGCCACTCGGCCTGACCTTTATTTGTTGCAACAAGACTTCCCACCACAACAAAGACGAAGCAGCCATAAGCCCTGATCAACGGTTATGTCAGTTTTTTAAAGGTTCCCCAAGTTTCCCAGAAGACGTTTCCAGAAGCATCATCGAGACATCATAGATATGTCACAGGAAAAGGTGTGGTCTCAGGTAGAACCTGAGATCCAGGCATGCCCCTGTCACTCAAATACAGTGCAAAGGAAAGTGTTTACATTTCCCTGGTCCCTGAGTCAAGTCAAATACACTCCTTTGTCTTGTCTGGGCTTCATCCCACCATTGTGATTGAGATGGTTATCTGTCTGACACTCTTGGGGCAGGATATCACCATTGTGACTCATTTGGAAGGCCCCACAGAAGTGACTGTACATCTGTGGATTATGGTGGGCTCTCTCACCCTTCCCCCTTATACCTCGCTTCCCTGGGCATTGGAACTGAGAAGATTGATATGAATTTCCAAAGTTTTCCCATTGAGCCCGTACGTAGCTACATTTCTCAGTGAATTGCTACATTTGGTATTGGGAATTTCCCTGTTTTCCTTTGTTGGAGACCTGGGGGTCAGCCAGCTCCATCTGCAAACGGAGCTGAGCCTCCCTTGCAGATGCAATGCCTTTGATTTTCTTGACATTCGGGGCTGCTGACAGAGCTCTGGAGTTTCTGATTAGACAGGCACTTTTGTGAATGGAGTTTTGAACCTAAATGAATGAGGTTCTGGTAATGTGCAGCACATACCCCCTGTCCTTCCCTCATGGTGAGGCAAGGCTCATGGGGTGTGTGCGTGTGTCTCAGCCTCTCGCATCCAATTTCCCTGTAACGATGCTCCAGGTGTCTGTGTACAGAGGCAAAATCATGCAAAGCCAGGAAGACAGATTTCCTGGCTTCCCTGACACTTAGACTTCTAAGACATGACTAAGCCATTTCTCACCTTCTCACCCCCTGCCTTTTCCTGTAAGACCTATTACAGTCGTTAAGAGTCGTCAACAGGCTCATCTCAGCTATCTGCCAATCTCCCATTCCCACCACCCTTCTGAGTAATCCCCCTCCCCACCTTCTCACTATATAGAAGGATCTGGCAACTTCTGTTTCAGTGTATCTGAAGAAGTGTGCATGCACACGAAAGCTCATACCAAGAACTAACTTAGTTGGTCTTTAAGGTGCTACTGGAAGGAATTTTTTATTTTGACTATGGCAGACCAACACGGCTACCTATCTGTAACTTAGACTTCTCCCTTTCTATTTTCTTACTCACCACTGGAGTTCCTAATCCCAGCTTGTTCCCTTACCCCTCTCTGTAATTTCATCTCTCCTTGCAATAACTCTTTCTCTCCTAGTTTCTCTGTAGCTTGTGCGTGGTCTATAAAACTATCAGATATCCCTCTCTCAATCTGTTTCTCTCTCTCTCTGTCTTTCCCTTTCTGTTTCTCCGAAACCTCTGCCTGACATTCGAGAGTCCTGCTATTTTTGTGTACTTGTTGTGAGCACCCGGCTAATGCTCAACAGCTGCTGCTGTATTGCTGTTTTGATCTACACACTTGTTTCTTCCTGTGAGCTAACAGGGATGTCACAAAAAGCAGCAGCAGGGGTTTGTCTGCTGGAATTGTGTGTGTGTGTATAGTCGATCTTGCAAGCTGACTCTGACCTTCTGCACCCTTCTCAATCCCAACAGCCGAGGCGTCTTTCTCCAAGTCAGGCTACGTCGTCCTGACCTTCGTCCTGCTAGTGCTGAGTCTTGGGGCTGCCTTCTGGTGCTGGAGGATCAATAATGAAAAATCAGCAGAAGCTGGTGAGCCAAACATTTGTTTGGAGTATTCCAGTCCTTCCCCTACAACCCTAATTATGTCACATTTAAAGAAACTCATGAGTCACAGAACATTTCAACCCCTGCTGGTCGTCTGAACAACTTGGACTTAAGTAATTTTACCCAAGTTTGCTTATTTTCTCTTCCCTCCCAATCCACTTTCCTTTTGAGCCATGTCTGTTTTAGATTGTAAGTTTCAAGAGCAGGGACTGCCGTGTTTATGTGGAACTGGAAGCTGCTCTTGGGAAGCTTTTTGACTGAAGAGTTGGATAAAACTTAACTGAATAAAGAAATTAAAAGGAGTGCAAGCTAAATGCAAGAGCCATCATCTTTTCTGAAAAACTCTGTGCCTTTAGGAACTCCTTGGTGCAGAAAATTTTGCCTGTGCAAACTTTCCTCAAAAGTGTTTCTCCCCACTGACAAAAACTTCCCCATGCTTAATAACTGCAAACTGGGCTGTTGTTACTGTCACAGGGGAGCAACCAGATTAGATAATATTTATGTTTAAATGGAAGGGTGAGGAGTCTGAGACCTGTGGAGGAGTTAAGTGTGGCTTTCCAGGCCTCTCTGTCTAACCTCAGAACTCCTCCCAGGTCAAATACAGTATTTTTGCCTGGCTGGAATCAGATAAAGCCTCTTTCTTACCTGGGTAGAGGATAGAGACTGGGTTGTGAGTCTGTGCAGAAAGTAGCCTAAGGCAGCGTTTACATTGGTTGCTCCACCCACTTTCCCTCTGGCCCCACCCACCACTGGCATGTGGCCCTCAGGAGGTTGCTCAGGTGGGAATGTGGTCCTCAGGCTGAAACAGTTCCCACCTAAAGCAATGTAGGGTCTCTCTCACACAGATCTCTCTCGATCTCTTTCTTCTTCCAAGTTACCATTCCAACTGTGCAAGTGGAGGAGAGCCCATCTGACCCCCAGTATGCAGAGATCCTTCGGAGGAGCCCCCCAGAAGGTAACAATAAGGTGAGACTGTCCTGAGGCCCCCCACTGGGCCTCTCCTCTGCTGGGTGGAAGCCCAGGTCAGCCTAGACCTGTTTTGCAGAAAGAATGGGGGTCTGCTGAACTTCAGAATATACCGCTGCAGGACCTCACAGGTCCTTCTTTAGCTACTGGCCTATGAAGATGTAAAGGGGGGAGGCTTGCCCTTCGCAATAAATCCTTCGGCTTGATGGTAGTGGTATTTACAGTATTGTACAAGTATTTACAAAGGGACGCAGGTGGCGCTGTGGGTTAAACTACAGAGCCTAGGACTTGCCAATCAGAAGGTCAGCGGTTTGAATCCCTGCGATGGGGTGAGCTCCTGTTGCTCGGTCCCTGCTCCTGCCAACCTAGAAGTTCGAAAGCATGTCAAAGTGCAAGTAGATCAGTAGGTACTGCTCCGGCGGGAAGGTAGATGGCATTTCCATGCGCTACTCTGGTTCGCCAGAAGTGGCTTAGTCATGCTGGCCACATGACCCGGAAGCTGTACACCGGCTCCCTTGGTCAGTAAAGCGAGATGAGTGCCACAACCCCAGAGTTGGCCACAACTGGACCTAATGGTCAGGGGTCCCTTTACCTTTACCTTATTTACAAAGTACAGAGTATCTCTTCACGCATCCAAATCATCGGCAACAGATCCTGGGAGTGGGGGCTTTCAGCTCTGCCTCCAGCAGAGCAGTCTTGGTAATCTCATACGTTTGCATTGTTCCCTAGGCTTTAACCTCCTCCTGTCCTGAGCGGCTAAAAGTGGTGTGCCCTTTCCCTCTGTGCCAGAGCTGGAGTGGTGCTGGGGCTCCCCAACATCAGGGAGTCCTGCCTCCACTTCCCCTTGCTCTCCCACACCTTCCAGTGCTTCCTCTTCTGCCAGTCCCTCTCTCGTTCCTCCTCATCCAAATCAGGAGCCATCTCAGCTGGCTCCGTGACAGAAGAGGACATTTGAGCCCAGCCACTAGACATCTCTCCAGTTACACAAATTGAGCTCAGATTAAGGAAAGATCCATAGCTCAGTGGTAGAGCCTCTGTCCTGCAAGCAGAAGGTCTCCGGTTCAATTCCCATCATCTCCAGATAGCCTTGGCAGAGACTATTGGTGTTTCACAACTTTCTGACTTGTTGCAGGACCTTAGCCAGACCTAGCAGAGTAAACGCAGAGTTCATGAAAGCAATTGGCAACTGGCTGCAGACAGGATGGACGAAGCAGGAACCAGGAACTTGTAGTTTATTATATTCAGTGGACTATTTACAGGAACAGAACACGGATCTTTAACTAGCTCCCTCTTACACGACTCACAACTCTCAACCTCCAACTCCTGCACTCGCCACTCTAACACATTCCAGTTAGTAGGCCATAAATCATTATTCCCGTGAGAGCTTGACCAATCATGGTGCTGTCTCTATGCCTCTGTATCACCAGGCAGATTACACTCCTTTACATTGCCTTGGCTGTCGGCCAAACCCTAATTGACTCTGTATGAAACTGCACATATTCAGATTCCCAACAGAGACTTCTGCCTGAAATCCTGGACAGCCACTGCCAGTCAGTGTAGACAATCCTGAGCTACATGGACCAATGGTCTGATTCAGTATGTGGCAGCTTCCTATATTCCCAAGTGTTGGGTGTTTGTGTCATTTTTATTCTCAGCAAATGCCACATCATTTAAAAACAAACAAGCAAACAAACTTCTTCCTTATTTGCATTTAGTCCCTAGGTCTCCGGGAAAATAATGCAGAGAGAAGCCCCCAGAAAGAACGGCTTGTCACCACTATTTACGACCAGATCCGAAGGACCCCGGACAATTCTTCTGAAGAAGTCACATAGGCCTGGTAAGGTCCATGATATTTTGGATGGGCTTAAAAAATACAGTGGTACCTCGGGTTAAGTACCTAATTCATTCCGGAGGTCTGTTCTTAACCTGAGGCACCACTTTAGCTAATGGGGCCTCCTGCTGCTGCCACTCTGCCGGAGCACGATTTCTGTTCTCATCCTGAAGCAAAGTTCTTAACCCGAAGTACTATTTCTGGGTTAGCAGACTCTGTAACCTGAAGCGTATGTAACCTGAGGTACCACTGTATATCAAATGGTGGTGATTTTTTTTTGCACAAATATATGCACCAAATATGTTTGTGTGTGATTCTAGCCATGCAGCAGCCTCTCCTCAAGACCTTCAACAAGGGAGAGCTCCAGCAGCTCTAGAGAGTGTTCCCATTGTCAAACTGGTTCTACCATCGATACATTTCTCCTCATGTCCAACTGAGATCTACCCTCAGTCTAGGGTAGATCCTTTAATCTAGTAGAGGGGAAGAAGTCTGTCCTCTCTTCTATGGGAGAGTCCCAATATGCCATCTGATTTATAAATATAATTCTGTTTCTCAACAGGATCCAGCAAGAGGGATTTTGTCAAGAAACATCACCTTTGCAGGGGCCAAAAACCAAATGATGTGCCAAACCCTCTGAGCACCACTTGGGACTTGCCAAGGCTACGTTTTGTTTTTGTTTTTTGGCACAGAAGAGAAGAGAATATTTCACAGGCAAAATTCTCTTTCTTTCCTTTTATTGTGAAACCTTATTTTCTGCTACAAGTCCTCACTCCAAATTTACTAGAAGTCCTCGCTCTGAAATGGCCGGAAAGCCCTCACTCCAAAGTGGCTTGAGAATATCTTGCTGAAGCTGAACCCTGGAAGGGAGAATGATCCAAGGCTTTCTAAACTATGGAGCAAACTATTCTCCAAAAGATCAGTCCATACAATGGAGTTTTCCGCCATCCTCAAAAGACAGCAAAGAGGGATGTGGAGTCTTGAGATATCCACCCAGGGAAAAATTGGGCAGATTGGCAGAGACTGAAAGAATGCCCACCACTCTTCTCCTGAAATGGAAGCCATTGTGGGCAGCAGCAACATGTAACCAGAACCATTCTAAGATGCAATTACATGGCTAAAAGGAAGACTCTGCTCTTGGAATGGACAAGATGTCAATAAATAAATATTCAGACTTACGTCCCATAAATGTTTTAGTAAGCCCATCCATGGCTGTTTTTAAGAAAGAGAGAGACCGTCTATGAATGGATGCGACCTCATGCTCAGGATAGCATCTGACATCCAACTGCTAGACCTGAATCTCTCCTTAGGTGTCACAATAGACTTCCCTTTGGGCTGCTCTGCGTAAGAGGGCAGTGGACTCTTGACTGTGCTAGCAATCCTGACCTTGTGCTCACGATGTATCAAAGTAAATATGAAAGCTAAACTAGCACTCCTATGTTCCAGTTTTAAACAAAACTAAAGGAAGGTGATGCTGCCACTGATTGATCATCCTGAATGATGCAATTCATGAACTGGGACTGGAATGAAGATGGGTTTCTGCTTATGGGAAAGGGATACAACAGGGTATGTTTCCACATCAACACGGTGAAGGAAAGAGTCCTAGCTCAGGGACAGAACACCTGCTTTGCATGCAGAATGCCCCAGGTTAAACCCACAATAGCATCTCCAAGTAGACCTCGGAATGTCCCCTCCCTGAATCCCAGGAGAGCTGCTTCCAGCCAGTGTAGACAGTCCTCAGCTAGAAGGACCAATGGTCTGACTCAGCAGTTTGCAGCACTTGGGCAAAGCCATGTCTCAGTGGTAGAACACCTGCTTCACATGTAGAAGGTCCCAGCTTCAACACCTGAATGCATCTCCAGGTAGGGCTGGGGGGAAAGACCCCTGCCTAAAATCCTGGAGCTGCTGCTGCCAGTCAGTGTAGAGAACACTGGGCTAGATGGACCAAAGGCAGCTTCCCATGTTCCTAAACCAAGGCTCCATTTCTCCCCAACCTATTGTCTGTAGATTGGCCTTCAGCTTTTCAGATCTCTCATATCAGGAGCCTTTCTTGGACCTCTCTGCAGCTGAACTCTAGAATGCTCAAAGCCTCTCTTTTTAAGTTCCAGATTCCACCCTCTGCTGTTTGAAGTACTTCAGAGCTAGGGGGGAATTAATGTGTCCTGCAACAATATGTTGCAGTTCTAGATTCCAATCAGAATGTTACACTTACACACACACCCCACCTCCTCACCCTGTTCTCCATTTTCCTTTTGGCACGTTCACTCTATAATCCTCATTTGGTTGATTCTCTTTTTGGGGGGAGAAGTGTCCCATTAAGTCTTTTGCTTTCAGATTTTTGTACATCTGCAAACTTTGGGATTCCCCCAGGCCTGGAAATGCCTCCCTCTTCATGTAGCTCACAGAGATCCTCTTTTGGCCACAGTCCAGTCAACACTTGGCCCCTATCTACTTGCTATTACAAGGGTGGAAGCTGTTCAGAAATCTATGCTGGAGACCTCTGGCTTTGATGTCAGACACCACACTCACACTGCAATGGTGGGAGTGATCTTCAATGAGTTCTGGGTATAGATTAGGTCTGTGGCTGCCCTTGCCAAGATTTTCTCAGAGCCGAAGTGTAGAAAGCCAAGTATCTGGACCTTCCCAGCCCAGCTCAAGGTGCTCTAGGAATCACAGAAACCAACCGTGCATTAATTAGCTGGTCATTGTATCATATCTGGTCCCTGCTCTAGATCTCACGAGACTTTACAGTGTGTATGTTGGGCACCATGCTATGTACTGTGTTATTTGTCTCAATAGCATTTGGTAAAATAACCCTTTGAAGAATGTTGTCATTGCCTGATGGTAAAGGTGTACGAAGATTGTGGTTAATAATATCCATAAGGTTTTGTATATTTTTGTTTCAGTCTGCCCAAAGTCGGCACACACACAGGACATGCAATTCCTTGGGCCAAATTAAAGAGGCAGCAGGTTGTTGTTTCAGCACTGGGAATGGGACAGCAATTGCTGCATGAGGAAAACAGCCATATCCAGAAATAGGAAGTAGCCCATGGCAGTCCACCCTCTCAGACCAAGTGGGCTTCAAGAGAACTTCAACACAGAACCTGTGGGCCACACACCAGTGAAGGTAGTGAATGTCCTGTTTGAGTGTCTGGAGGTGGTTGTAAGATGGATGGTAGCTAATAGATTGAGGTTGAATCCTGACAAGACAGAAGTACTGTTTTTGGTGGACAGGAGGTGGGCAGGTATAGAGGACTCCCTGGTCCTGAATGGGGTAACTGTGCCCCTGAAGGACCAGGTGTGCAGCCTGGAAGACATTTTGGACTCACAGCTGTCCTTGGAGGCACAGATCAATTCTGTCTACCAGCTCCATCTGGTACGCAGGATGAGACCCTCCCTTCCCACAGACTGTCTTGCCAGAGTGGTGCATGCTCTGGTTATCTCCCGCTTGGACTACTGCAATGCCTTCTACATGCGGCTACCTTTGAAGGTGACCCAGAAACTACAACTAACCCAGAATGCAGCAGCTAGACTGGTGACTGGGAGCGGCCGCTGAGACCATATAACACTGGTCCTGAGAGATCTGCATTGGCTCCCAGTACGTTTCCGAGCACAATTCAAAGCATTGGTGCTGACCTTTAAAGTCCTAAATGGACTCAGTCCAGTATACCGGAAGGGGCGTCTCCACCCCCATCGTTCTGCCTGGACACTGAGGTCCACCTCCAAGGGCCTTCTGACGGTTCCCTCACTGTGAGAAGCCAAGTTACAGGGAACCAGGCAGAGGGCCTTCTTGGTGGTGGCTCCCTCCCTGTGGAACGCCCTCCCACCAGATGTCTAGGAAATAAACGACTACCTGACTTTTAGAAGACATCTGAAGGCAGCCCTGTTTAGGGACGTTTTTAATGTTTGAAGTTTCATTGTGTTTTTAATATTCTGTTGGAAGCTGCACAGAGTGGCTGGGGAAACCCAGCCAGACGGGCGGGGTATAAATAATAAAATTGTTATTGTTATTGTTATTAGATTTCCACATTGTTAAAGTGGTCACAATATCATTACTATAATTGCATACACAATTAACAGGTTTAATATATATATATTTGTCAAACAGATAGATAGATGCATGGCAGGGAAATGCAGGAGAACCCAGAATCATGGTGTGTGTATGAGATTCTGACCCCTGAAATCCTGCCAGATAAGATCTGAGTGCACAGAACAGGAGTCAAAGTGACTCCAAAATAATCACCGCCACCTCTCACCCCTCCTGCACAGTCACAATCTGGACTATCCTTCTCCTAGTACCTCCTGGACGGGGTGGAGGGAAGAGACAGAAAGTCACAGATCTGAGGTCCTCTTTCCTTATTGGTATGTGTGTGTGTTTTGGATGTGGATCTTAACAATCCAGATGTTCTTTTAAAAAATCTCCATCTCGCCAATTGAAAAACAGGAAGCTGAGTTTGCTCTTACCCACTAGGCAGGGTTTCCTGCACAGTCATGGTCTACCTGTGATTGCCCCAGACCTCTGCTGCCCCTCCCCACCCCACTTCTCAAGCCCCCAGTCACACCCTCGACCTGCGCACACTGGAGACAATGAGGAGCACAAACACCCACACCCCAATTCACCACCACACCAGCACCATTAGGTAATAATAATAATAATAATAATAATAATAATAATAATTTATTTATGTCAGGAAACCGGGCTCAGGGTGGCTAACAACAAATTTAAAACACTTAATTGAATACTTTGCCACTCTTGCCCAGCCCTCCACTCCCTCCTTCCTGCAACTGGTGGGTTGGGGGCAGGGCTGGATTTAGGGCAACACGACTGATTCTCCCACACTGGGCACTGAGCTGAGAGGGCTGTTGTGAACAGCTGATGGCAATAGGTATGTGGAAGATGAAGGCATTTCCATGTGCTCTGGCACTTTTTATGGTGTCCTGTTGCACCAGAAGCATTTTAATCCTGCTTGGTATGTGACCCGAAAAGCTGTCTGTGGACAAACGCCAGTTCCCTCGGCCTGAAAGTAAGATGAGTGCTGCAACATTCCACTGGTCTTTAACCTATGTGGAACCTCCATATGCTAGAAGGTCAGAGAGTGGAAGAGGGGCTGCTGCCTCTGTGCCCTCTCTTTGTCGTGCCATTTTCACTAGTGTATGCTTTCTTACACACAGTTTCTCCTAATACATACATTTTCGTACACATGTAGTGATTGTAGAAGTGCCTCACAAAAACCCAAATTACAAAGGGTAGCTGCATTTCACAGGTAAATGTAAAGGGTAAAGGACCCCTGGCAGTTAAGTCTCTTGGTTGACTCTCGGGTTGCGATGCTCATCTTGCTTTATTGGCCGTGGGAGCCAGTGTACAGCTTCCGGGTCATGTGGCCAGCAGGACTAAGCCACTTCTGGTGAAACCAGAGCAGTGCACAGAAATGTTGTTTACCTTCCTGCCGGAGTGGTACCTCTTTATCTACTTGCACTTTGATGTGCTTTCGAACTGCTAGGTTGGCAGGAACAGGGACTGAACAACGGGAGCTCACCCCATGGCGGGGATTTGAACCACCAACCTTCCGATCGGCAAGCCCTAGGCTCTGTGCTTTAGACCACAGCGCCACCCGCGTCCCGCATTTCACAGGTAGTTGCTGTTAAAGACTGGTAGTTATGAAGAAGTAAACAATAAACATCTCAGAGAAAAAGTTTGTTGATCTTAACAAAATAATTAAAGCATATCTCCTTTTTTAAATACTGTTTTGTGGTTAGTCTGTTTTAAGAAAATCCTCTAGCTCCCGTATGAGGTTTCCAGAGGCCTGTAAAGTCCTTTGAAAGGTCTCTATCGGTTGGAGGGAAAGAAATGGAGGCCAACCAGAGTACAAGAGCAAAGCGGCTAGTAAGACTGATCTTTATTATTTGAAAAGGGGAAAGTATTGCAACAGGGTCCCCACTCAGGACACAGGAGGGAGGAGAATCCAGAACAAAGGAAAATCAGAATGTTATACTATCTCCACGTGGTCTGCCCGACAGGGGCGTCAGTCATACACCAGAAATACATTATTAAAAGGAGGTACATCGGATAGAGTGACAGGTAAGTTCATAGGTCACAGGTAAGTCATTGATGCCTCCTTGGGTGTTAATACAGTGGTACCTCGGGTTAAGTACTTAATTCGTGCCAGAGGTCCGTTCTTAACCTGAAACTATTCTTAACCTGAAACACCACTTTAGCTAATGGGGCCTCCCACTGCCGCTGCACCGCCAGAGCACGATTTCTGTTCTCATCTTGAAGCAAATTTCTTAACCCGAGGTACTATTTCTGGGTTAGCGGAGTCTGTAACCTGAAGTGTCTGTAACCCGAGGTACCACTGTACAGGGAGGCAAAAGGAGAGGCAGGTATGGATGGTCTTCTGTCTGTGTCAGGTCCAGGGAATTCTATTCCCCAACCCTACCCTGTGGGAGCATGAAGCAAGGAAAAACATAGAGTGTCTTTAAATAAAGTGAGTTTATTCAATAAATTTAAATAAAAATGAGTTTAATCAAACATCAAGGTGAGAGACAAAGAAATCCAGCCAGTCCCTCATAACGAGATTGCTCCAAATGAGCTCCTCCCTTCCAAGCAACAGCACTAAAAATAACTAAAATGTCACAGGCAGAGAGTAAAAATAGCATTGATAAATTTGAGCCTGGCAAGGGGTATCCTATCCCTCACGGGGTGTGTGGGTGTGTTTCTGGCCAGCTTATAAATGTGGTGCCAACATTTCAAAAAATGGTAATGGCCGAGTAAGAATCACTCTTAGAGAGAACTAAAGTTAAAAAAAGGTAAAGGTAAAGATTAAGGTAAAGGACCCCTGGATGGTTAAGTCCAGTCGTGGCCGACTCTGGGGTTGCGGCGCTCGTCTCGCTTTATTGGCCGAGGGAGCCGGCGTACAGCTTCCGGGTCATGTGGCCAGAAGGACTAAACCACCACTGACGCAACAGAAACACTGTGACAGAAGCCAGAGCACACAGAAACATGCAAGAAGAGAGGAAAGAGCAAGAATCACTCTCAGAGAGAAATAAAGATAATTGTAGCTGCTTATTGTTGACATTACCGATGTCTGCTTTGTGTTGTTGCCGGGATGTCAGAGGCCAAATATCAGTCTGCAAGCTGAGAAGATCAACTCTGCTCTTGTCTCACCAGCAGCCATGCCTGAGTCTCCCTCCACAATCAGACAGAAAAGCTAATGAAGAAATTTGCAGAAGCCTCAAGATCCTTCTTGTATTCAAGCTGTTAATCTACTCTTCCTTTGGTAAGTCCTTCAGGACTTGTACAGCTTTCAAGCCTCTCAATACACAGAAATGTTGTAAGTCTGTTTTGTTCCGAAGGGGTAAATAATTGACAATGATAAAGTTCGTTACTGGTTCCCTGTTGCTAATTTGCATGGAATTGCTAAGCATGGCTCACTGATAAAACCCTCTCTGCACCTTAACCCTTCCCCCCTGTAATAAACAAAAATCTGCCCTTATTCCCTTATGAGGAACACAAGAGCCCTTGTGGAGTCCTTTGTAGGTTCTCCATAAGTTGGAGAAAATAACAGAGGCCAACCAGAGAATATTGAGAAGCCCAAAACTGTGTTCTTGAAGAGATCCTACATCCCCTTCCTCGCATTGTTGGGAACAACTTTTAGAGTGTGTTGTGACACTTAATCGCTACTGAACATTCCTCTGATTGTGGTCATTTGTACAAGTTAAAAAGGGAGCTGTGGACAAGGATACATTGCCTTTCGATGTAGGCTTCAAATTACAAGCCAGTTTGTACCAACTAAACATTAGGAAGAACTCTGACAGTAAGAGCCATTCAAGAGCCATTCCTCTGGAAAGTTGTGGACTCTGCTTCATTCAAGATTTTTAAGCAGAGGTTGGATGGCCATCTGCCAGGGATTCTTTAGCTGAGATTCCTCTGTTACACCTTTGGAGGAGACCGTGAAGCAGACAAGGCTGTGCTGCAGATGAGTCAGGCCGTCATGCGAGGAGGAATTTGCCTTCCACTCCTACAATTAGGCGCCATTTAAAAAGGGGTTGGATCTCCAGCGTTCGCCAGCCTGCTCCCTCGAAGCCTGCAGATTGTTCCTGTTCCTGACCAGGGTGAGTTGAAATATTGCGGTATCTTGGGCACCAGAGATAGGTCATAATATACTGTTTGAAGATTGGGAAAGACTGTGGAAAAATGATTTAAATTTTACAGATTGTTCTTTACTGAAAGAAAACTATATGAAAATGATGTATAGATGGTACATAACACCAGTATAGATAGCAAGAATGTATAAAACCGGCTCAAATGTATGTTGGAAACGCAAGGAAAAAGAAGGGATCTTTTTATCATATGTGGTGGGATTGTAGAAAAATTAATTTTTGGAGGTAAATAGACATTGTTGAGCTAGATGGACCTATGAGTTTGACTCAGTACAGTGGTACCTCGGGTTACATACGCTTCAGGTTGCAGACTCTGCTAACCCAGAAATAGTGTTTCAGGTTAAGAACTTTGCTTCAGGATAAGAACAGAAATCGTGCTTCGGCAGCGGCAGGAGGCCCCATTAGCTAAAGTGGTGCTTCAGGTTAAGAACAGTTTCAGGTTAAGAATGGACCTCTGGAAAGAATTAAGTACTTAACCCGAGGTACCGCTGTATTTGGTGTCCTGTGGATACTAGACAACCCTTTTTAAACATAATCCTTTATTAGGCATAGCAAACCACACATTATCAAACAGACACTGTATACAAATTGTGCGAAATACGAGCTCAACATAACAACCCTTGTTCCAAGAAGCATTTGGATGAGGATGATCTGGAGCCCCCAGAAATTTCTAGCACTCAGGAATATCTGAGAACAATGTTCAAGCAGGACCTGGGACCATCAAAGAAGAAATAAGGAAGAGGAGGCAGAACAGCCCCTAAGCCCCTGGGAGTGATGGGATCTTAAGAGGCAGAATAAGATCATCACAATCAGTAGAAGGGACTAATCTGACAGCCTCCAGAGAGGCGGGACAGTCCTGGAAGGGAATAATAAAAAGGTGTCCTGTCCCCACCTTCTGCATGCCTTGGAGTGCTTGGCTGCAGAGCAGGGCTCCTTTTGAGTAAAGGGCTATTTATGAGGAGGACCTCAGCTTTGCCTCTTTGGGAGTTCTGGCAACTCTGCCTTAAAATCCTCAAGAGGAGGCAGAGAGAGCTGCTGAAAAGACGCTTCCCTTCCAACCCTGATCTTTTCCTGCACTGCCTCCCTGTGGCCATGCCTCTTAGCCGTGCCTTTGCCCATGTTCTTGCCTGAACTGCTGCCTCGGTGTGGCCAGATCTTGCAGTACAACTTGTCTGTGCCTTTGCTTCAATTGCTTCGCTTCAACCAGACTGTGGGCTACTCTTAAGCTTGCCTGTTCCTCCTTATCTGAACTGTGTGCTTGTAGCCTTGCTGTGGATTCTTGCCAGCCTGAACCTGTGGAAACAGGACATTTGGGCTTCTACTGAGAGTGCATATACCAGCATGGGGCCTCATCATCATTATCAGCATAACAACAACAACAACAACAACAACAACAACAACAATAACAACAACAACAACAACAATAACAATAATATACTCCCCTTCATCTGAAGACCTCAGGGCAAAACGGTTAGTTTGCATTTTTAGTGCAGAAAGTATGGATCTGATATGTAGAGATCTTTCCTATTCTGATTAATTCAAGAGGGTTATGGAAGTTTCCCTTTGTCAAAGAAAAAAGCAGAAGGTTCTGGATGTTTGGGTTACAGTACAGCTGGTTTGAACTACTGTAGTTCTCTTGTCTCTTTCTGTCAAGGTCTTGCTGACTATAAAAGTAGGGTTAGAAGGAGCCTGTGTTTCACTTTCTATCTCTTTTCCTTCTGATGTGGTGTTCTGTACATAGTATGCTTAGTGTTAAGGTTTAGACTTATTATATGTTATTGTAAGTTTAAGTCTGCTGCAATTGGATTTCTTATGCACAGGGCCAGTCCTGAATGTTTTGGATTTGTGACCATTTTGGTCATTTGCCTTCAGTAGTAGTAAAGCTCTGCTGGGTAAAATAATAATTGTCTCTGGTCTATTTTTGGGAATCCTGCAACATGTTTAAGTTGTTGCTCTGCTAACTATACATTGGAATCTACTCTGGATCAATATTGAGTAGAATTCCATGACGATAACACAGCATAAAAATACAAGTTAAGATCACAAAATGCATAATAAAAACAAGAACAAAAGAAACCAATAAATCCTACTCCACCTCCCCCACCCATTTCTCTGCCAGTAGCTTGTCCTACACTCGAGCAGGACCCTGGCAGAGTCATATGCCCGACTGGCATGTTCTCTCCCTCCTGGTAGTTCGTTCGGGAGCTTCAAAAGCTTTCTTCTGCCTGAACATCACAGCGACCGATGCCAGCAGACATCGGCACAATTAGGGATCCGCAGAGTCTGCGCAGTTCGTGTAACAGGCTTCAGCAACTCAGCATTTTGGCTAATCCAATTTATTTACATATAAACACACATGGAGCACTGCAACATGGCTCCCTCTCTCTAGCATCAGACAGCAAAGAGAAAGAACAAAGGACAATGGTCCCACTTCACGGAACACAGCAACACAAACATCCTGTCTCCGTCACTTCCCACTCTGTGGAGTCAAAACATGTACCGTCATGTGATAGACAACAATCCCATGACTGCAATCATGGACCAGGAATACTAACATTCCCCACCATTCTCTGGCTCAGACAATGGTGATGATGAGAGTAAGGAGTGATTGGTGCTAACCCATGTCCTTGTTCATCTTTTCCCTCCTTCCCTGCCCCAATAGGCACTTTGAGTCAAGCAGCAGAGAATCCGACCTATCACATGAATGGGATCCTGGGAGGATCAGTATTCCTTTCTTTAAATGCATCCCGAGCCAAAAAAATTGTCAAAATTGAATGGGCCTTCCACCCCACATCTGGGGATCCATACCTGCTTGGTGAGTTCAGGGATGGAAAACTGGATCAGTCAAATTTCAGGAGCCAGTATGAACAACTGATGGAAACTGGGGATGTTGTCGCATTGAGGATCAAGAACTTGGCAATGGTTGATGAGACCACGCTGAGGATTAAGAACCTGACAATGGAGCACGGTGGGATCTATGAAGCTCGTACGTGGTTTAACGCTGCGCAGTTCCAAGAACACCACTTCATCCTCACTGTTTATGGCAAGTAATGATTTCACCATCTTTGTCAGTTTGTAGTGGAGATGAGCATAGAATGAGAAGATCATGAAATATGATGGAGAACCTTTTTCAGCCTGAGGACCACATTCTCACCTAGGCGACATTCCAGGGCCACATGCCAGTGGGGCACAAAATCAGAGGAAATAAGTGTGTGGAACATTGAGTCTAAACGTTACTGTTCTACAATATGCTAGTTTCTTCACATGTGTGCAACCCCCATCCTCCATCCAGGAAGCAAGGGGCATTATCAAGATTTAATAATACTTTTCAGCCAGACAAAATAACTCAAGAAGGGTGTGAATCAAGGCCATGAGAGGAGTATATCTGGGAAAGATATATGGCTCTGGGAAAGGACTCGGGGAGAGAGTCCTGAGTGACAGATAGAGATGCTTGGAGGGACATATTTGGCCTCTGGGCCCAAAGGTCCCCACCCCTGCCCTACACAGTTACTGAGAGGCATGTGGGGCACAAACTCCTAATGTAATGATCTCAGGCAGGCAAGGAAGCCCCGATAAGAATTCATGAGTTTCTGGCAGTTTTATGGTACATTTATTTACAATTAGCATGCTGAGCATGGCTCCAAGCCTGATGCTCTTTGCTACGAGTTGATCACTCTGAGTCTCCGCCCCCATCGCAACACAAAGGGTGCCGAAGTCCAGTTCTTCCTCTCTTGTAATTCTGTTGCATTTTAACATTTGCAGCTCTTCTGGTTCAGGGAGGAGGTAGGTGAACTCCCCCCCCCCCACTATAAAATGAAGATCCCTCTAAACGTTACTTGTCTCCTGGTTGCATAGCAACCCCCTCAATGTTATCTATCTCCTCCCCTCCCTCTGCCTGTGAGTTCTCTGAGTCTGCTGCTCTATCTGAGTCTGGGAATTCTTGATGAAGTGGTGCAGAACTAACTCACTCCTGCTCTGTCTGTGGTTGCAACCCCTCGTCCCCAGAGTCAGGCTGTGGCTTCCTCTGTAGTGGCATTCCTTCATCTCCAGAGTCAGACTCTTCCTAGGCGTTCGATTCAGCCACATCCCTGACACCTAATCACTTTCATTTCTCTTAAAACAGAGCCAGTGCCAAGACCATGGATACACCATAAAGTAGAATCCAGGACTCCAGAAGGCTGCACTGTGTCCTTACAGTGCCAGGCACCTGTAAAGGAGGAATACTCTATCTCCTGGAAAAGAGGGGACCCCCCCAGGGTCTTAGTAGGAGGTTTGGATAAGTACTGGCTTTCTGACAATGGAAGGAATCTCCACGTCTCCTGGCACAAAAGCTCTTCTGACTCCACATTCACTTGCCTGGTCAGCAATCCTGTTGATCGAAACTGTGCCTCATTTGACTTGCTCAAAATCTGTGCAAGTGGGGAAGGTAAGAAATGTATCATCCCTTTCATAACCCCCTGGTTCTGCTTGGAGTGGTGAATACTCAGGCAGTCCCTCAAGACAGGGATTGTATAAGCAAACACTCCTCCTTCCTTGCAAGCTTGTTAGCAGGTTTGGGTCAACACAGCTCTGCTTGCAGACTATGCATGACCCTATGAGTTGCTGCTCCTGAAATTAAGAGTCTCATGCTCTACCAACTAAGCTATCCTGCTGCTTTCTTCTTTGATTCCTAGGCTGAGAAATTGTCCCGGGTCCCACAAAAGTGAAAGCAGCAATGATATCTGAAGAGCCATGCCATTCTTAGAACATCATCTCCCTGCAATGGGACTCCTAAAATCCCCAGCAGGACTCAGGTCCTTTGCTTGCTATTCCTGCTACAATGAAAGCGAGCAAAAGCACCATGTAAGTTTATGTCTCCAAATTATAAATGATGGGTTTGGACCCAGATTTAGGGATGCTTAGAGTGGAGTCTCTGAGGACAGATGCATTTGGTTTGCTTCCCAAACTCATACGATAACCAAAATACACCTATCCTTCAGAATTTTCACTTCTCCATGATACAGCTCTCAAAATAAAAAAGTGTTCACATAAATATACAGACAATTGAAAAATAATCTTCAAAATAAGATGTGGGAAAGGGACACTGTCACTTTATAGAATAAGAACAGTCCAATGGTAGAAATGGTTTTATCTCCTTTCTTTTCCTGAGTGTGATCTTTTGTACATTACACCAACAACTGGGAAACACTGGCCTGCAAGCGCTCCAGTTGGAGAACAGCCTTGACCAAAGGTGTCATGGGCTTTGAAGACACTTGAAACTCAGGACGCAAGGGAGAAACGTGCTAAGAGGAAGGCACGCTGGCAAATCCACACCGTGATCAACTCCCGCCCGGAAACCAATGTCCCCACTGTGGAAGGATGTGTGGATCCAGAATTGGCCTCCACAGTCACTTATGGACTCATTGATAAAACCGTGTTTATGGAAGACAATCTTACTTGGCTATGAATGATTGTCAAAGAAGAAGAAAGAAATATCTTATCTTATTTTATTGTCTGCCACTTTGGCAGTCTTTGGTTTATAAATCTACCAATAAATAACAGAAATAATAACAAGAGTGGAGAATAATATAAAGTAGTCCAGGAGAGGCAACTTAGGGCAACAGTAATGGAACAAGACCTTCTTCTTTCTATGGTATTTACTCAAATGTAATGCACATCTCAGGGGCGTGGGTGGCACTGTGGTGTAAACCACAGAGCCTAAGCTTGCTGATCAGAAGGTCAGCGGTTTGAATCCCGCGACAGGGTGAGCTCCCGTTGTTCAGTCCCAGCTCCTGTTAACCTAGCAGTTCGAAAGCACATCAAAGAGCAAGTAGATAAATAGGAAATTAGGGTGCACATTAGATTTGATAGTACATTTACATTTGCCAGCAAATACTATTTGGGTTTCAAGGTTTTGAAAATGGAGGTGTGCAATAGTTTTTGATGGCTCATTCAATTTGTGTAAATAGAGTATTTGTTCTGCTTCTCTTAGTCACATAGAGGAGGTCCATTTGGTGGCTGTTATTGCAGTTCGTTCCAAGAGCCTCTTACTGCTTGTTGCAGGTGGACAACAAAAGTACTGGGGGTTCCTGCCGCTTCCCATCTGTGCTGTTGGAGCTTGTGCATGTCTGATAATGATATGGAAGAAGAAAAGGTTGGGAAAGGAGAAAGGTAGAACAATCTCTGTTAATCCTCTTAATTACCTGGTGTTGAGGTTAACTGCCAAATATGTGTCTGCCTCTCCCTTGCTCCTCTTGAGAGGCAGAGGTTGGCCAGTGCCGTGAGATGAAAAGCAGGTCTCATGTTCTGCTCTGTAGATGCTGCTTCTGCGATGCAAGCTCAAGAGGGCTCTCTTGCGCCCTTCCTCAGAGGAACCCCCCCCCCCAAAGATGGTGATGACCTACTGAGATGAGCATTTACAGTAAGGAACCTGGAGACCAGATGAGATGTTTGGAAGTCACATAATACTATGGCATTGTTTTTTAACATTTGTTAGTACTACTAGGAGTAGTCAGGGCTTCTTCTTTTTTCCCCAGCCAGAACGCTCCCAGAACAGAGGTTTATCCACTCACCCTGAAACACCATTGCAGGGGGGGGGTGGAGTTTGGGAATCCAAAGGGTACATAATTATAATTTATTTTGTTTTTATTTTGTTTTGTTATTTGTATGAAAATTGGGAAATTTGTGGAAGGGAATTTGGATCGACTTTAGAAAAAATGTTTTAAGAATGAGTATTGATGTATAAGTATTGATGTTTAAGTTTGGATAAGGTAAAATTGGTTTTTTAAAATGAACTAAATTAAATGAAAATAAGGTTAGCAAAATAAATTGAGGAAATGGATGAAAAGAGAAAAAGTAAAATAATAATATGTTAAATTAAATTATTAAGTTAAAGTTAAGAAATAAGTAATAAGGATTTGCTGAGCTAATAATTTGAATTGGAATACAAGAAGGGAAGGTGTGAGGAGGTCTGAGAAATAAGTTAAAAGAAATAAGCAATTGAAATTTTATGTGTTTTTAATTGTTTTTAAGTTTTGTATTTTTGTATGTTTTGTTTGTTTTTTGTTTGTTTTTGTTTTTGTTTCATTATAGAAAATACTAGTAAATATTCATTAAAAAAAAGAAAGAAACACCATTGCAGGGGTTGGGCCAGATGACCCTCAAGATCCCTTCCAACTCTTCAGTTCTATGATTCTATGAAACAAATCATCTGAGAGGAGTGGTTGGCTACTAGCCAGGATGGCTTATGCTCTGCCTCCGTGGTCAAAGGTAATAATGCTTCAGAATACAAGTTGCTGCAACCTGCAGGAGGGGAGAGTGTATCAGTTTGATTTGATAGTACCAAAAGTATTGATCTGATGAGTAGAGATCTTTCCTGTTCTAATTAATTAAGAGGGTTCTGGAAGCTTCTCTGTGTGAAAGAAGCAAGCAGAAGGTTCATGAGGTTTGGGTTATTTCTTCAGAGAAGCTGAGTACAGCTGGCTTAGACTGGTTTCTATTATCGCTTTCTGTCAAGGTCATGCTGATTATAGTAATAAGGCCAGACAGAGCCGGGGTTTCACTTCTTTTCTTTCTTTCTTTCTTTCTTTCTTTCTTTCTTTCTTTCTTTCTTTCTTCTTTCCTTCTTTCTTTCTTTCTTTCTGATGTGGTATTCTGTGTATATAGTGTTAAGGTTTAGACCTTACTATAAGTTATTGTAAGTTTAAGTTTAAGTCTGCTGCAACTGGATTTCTTATGGACAGTGCCAATTCTGAATGTATATGAATTTGTGACCATTTTGCTCATTTGCCTTCAGTAGCTCTGCTGGATGAAATATTAATTGTCTCCAACATTTGAAAATGTAAAGAAAAAGAAGGATCTTTTTACCCCAATGGTGGGAATGTACGAAAGTAAAAAACTTCTGGGAAATGATATATAATGAGATGAAAAAGATGTTGAAATATACATTTATTAAAAAAACCAGTAGCATTTTTACCTGGCATTGTAGGGGATGATATTAATAGACAAGATTGTAAATTGTTTTTATATGCAACAACGACAGCAAGAATATAATTGGGACAAAAATGGAAACAGGAAGAATTACCAATGAAAGAAGAGTGGCAAATGAAATTAATGGACTATGAAGAATTAGATAAATTAACAGGAAGGATTCAAAACCTGCAGGACCAGAGATTCTTAGAGGACTGGAGTAAATATCTGAACTATCTGAAAAGCAATTGTAATAAAGAGATTATGCTAGTAGGACTGCAAGACGTTTTGTAAAGAGGATTATGCAAAATATTGCAAGGAAGACTTTGAAGAGAATATTAGTTAAGGACAATTAAAAGTAACAGAGAAATTAATAAATGCAGATTAAGTGATAAAGAATGGGAAATCTTCAGAGGTAGTTGACGGAAGTCTAAAACATTGCATAATATAAAAATGTATGTTAAATGACTGTTGGAAATGATATGTTAAAAATTTAATAAAAATGTGTGTGTGTATTAATTGTCTCTGGTCTATTTTTTTGAAATCCTGCAATGTGTTTAAGTTTTCACTCTGCTAACTATACGCTGGAATCTGTTCTGGCTCAACATTTCTGCTGCTCCAGAGAAGCGGACACGGAGCAATGGAGCCAAACTACAAGAAAGAAGATTCCACCTAAACATTAGGAAGAACTTCCTGACAGTAAGAGCTGTTCGACAGTGGAATTTGCTGCCAAGGAGTGGGTGGAGTCTCCTTCTTTGGAGGTCTTTAAGCAGAGGCTTGACAACCATATGTCAGGAGTGCTCTGGTGGTGTTTCCTGCTTGGCAGGGGGTTGGACTCGATGGCCCTTGGGGTCTCTTCCAACTCTAGGATTCTATGATTCTATGATTCCATGAACATTGAATAAAATTCCATGACAGAGTGCAAATTCCTATGTATAATACATCAAATTATCCGCCTTCATGTACAGTAGACAGTAGATATTCTATATTTTGAAAGTAGGCTAGGGTCAGTTATTTAGTGATAGTAAATCTGTGTATTAGCATTAGGTAGAAGGAATAACAGTGCTGCCCTTTTAAGAAAAGATACTGCCTTTCCCCCTTTTTTAGACATCGAGGCAGGTTGGGATATATTCTAGTTTCTATTGGCTCTGACCAGAGGGGAAGAAGCCTCCTTTCCCCCTTTGCAATCTAGCTTCAGTCTAGCTCTTGCTTATGTAGGAAGAGGGGCAAACTCATTTGTTCTTACAGAACTCCATAGAGAACTTCATAAAATACTTCTAACCATCTTCATTCAGAGCCAAAGAACAACCTATTGAAATGTGAGGAATATTTCTACATGTGCTTCGATTATCCTCAATAAATCTACGTTTGAGAGCTTTGTGGAGTTTTGTTGAATACTATCCAGATTGAGAGAGAAGTTTCAGGACTGAACAGTGGGCAATATTCTTGACAGAACCCCATCAAAACAGCAAAACAGCAGCCTCCTATAATGATCTGAAGGCATATGCTTTAAAAAAGCAACAGCCCAATTTTTGCTTACAGTTTTCTTTGGTAGTAACCATTTTATTTTATTTTTTAAGCTATACCCCATAACTAAAAGAAGAGGAAAAGGGGTGCTCAGAGTTGAGCCACTAAATTCTTAGAAGGAGCCCTTATCTCTGATCAGCCTCACACTGTTTCTGATCAAGGCTGTTGGTTGCTGTTTTGCAGCTGTGTCTCAAAACATCATGTTCTAATAAAAGCAGAGCAAAATTTTAAGCTAATTTCTTATCATCTTATTTATTTATTTATTTATTTATCTTGCTGGTTGCTTGTCACCCAAAGGTCTCCAAGCGACCATCACATTAAAGAAAAATATATGCACATACATAAAACCATGGAGAAGAGAGAGACGTAACTTACTGGATTTCTTTATTAGCAACAGAAGTATTTTCTCTGGGTGACTTCCAGGCAAGGAGACAATGGAATCCAGCAGGCAAGACTGAACGCACAAATGTCCGTGGCGGAGAGTGAAACGCTGTCGTGGGACATAGAGACACTAAAAATTCATTCAAGCAGCTGCGCGCGTGTATAAAAGGGAAAAGGGAGGCGCTAGAAAGCGACAGGCGGGAGGGAAATGGGTGACGAAAAGGGAAAAGAGGGGAAGCAGATAGAGGAGAGAGGAAAGAAGGAAAAAGACAGAAAGAAAGATGAGATGCAAACGAAGACGAGAGAAACCGCGAGGAATTGCAGAGGAAAGGAAGGAAAAAATAAGCAAAGAAGAGAGAGAGGAAGAGAGGGAGAGAGACCAGGATCTGGAAAGAAAGAGCGGGAATGAAGAAGGAAAATAAAAACACCGTCTGGAAAGCGGGAGTGGGCAGCTGCCCCCCAAATAAGTAAATCAATGCAAATACTTGACTGAGGTTCTGCCCCACCCACCATAAATCCTGAAGAGGCTTCTCGAAGTCCTGCCTGGGAGGGGAAAATGCGCTGAGGGGGAAGGGAGGATTTTTCGGGGGGTCTCGGATTTAGCCCAGCGCCGGTATCCCGGTCCAGCAGCAGCAGCAGCAGCCTCGCCTCCTCGCCGCCCGCTTTCGTCCTGTCTCAAATGACCACGCTTCTAATATGTCCTGTGTACGCTGGAGAGGGCGCAGCGGACGAGGCGCAGGAGACAGCGGCAGAGAGCATCTTCTAGCGCTGAGCACTGGGCAGTGAGTGGTCAGCGGCGGGAGGGGGCATGGATTTATTTCTAGGGGCAAAGCGTCACGGGTCAGCCACGCACTCGGGATTTTTTAAAAATCCCCTGTGCTATGCCACATGCATAATGACTCAAGTTGTGATGTGGCGTCGCGGTTTTAAAAGCCTGGCTCAGGCTGAAATGGTGCCACTGATAACTCCGGGCATGCAAATGGCACAATTTCTTACGGCAAGAAGTAGCACCAGAAGACTCTTTTGGACCTTACCAGGGTCTCATCTTCTAGAGGAGAAGAAAGACTGCGCCTGAGCACTCTCAATGGGGGCAAGCAACAATCGGGGTTCCTGGGGATCGCAATTTGTTCTGATTTAGAGCTATAGAGTGGGAATTACCTGGGAAAGGAGCGCGCAAGTGGGAAACCGCTGAGACCCCGACTTTCTAGGCGCAGGACAAGAGGAAGTGTGGGCGAGCCCTTGTACGAAAGGCATTGGGCTGAAAACAAAGCTCTCTTCCCTCCTGGCCAAAATGATTGTGGAAGTCCCGAGCAGAAGGCTCCTGGTCATCCTGCTCTTCACTCCATGGATCTGTACTTCATTTGGTAAGTCCTTGGGAGAGGGAGGGAACTCTTTGCAAATGTCCGGGGGGGGGGGATGCAGGCTTTTGTGAAGGGGAAATAATTGACCAAGGGGAGGCTGGTGCCATTTCTCTTAGCTAGTGTTGAGCATAAGTTTTCCTCTTGGTGAGCCACCTTCTCATTGGAAGCACTACCAAGTAGGCATCTCCTTCTATGTCCTCCCGCTTTCTGGAATAGCTCCTCTGTGCCCCGCTCATTCCCCCTGGGCAGGAAATAAGCAGCCTCTGGGTCTCCTGCCTCCTCAGGATATGTGGGGAGCAAGGAAGGGGTGGCTCTGCTCCATAATCTCACCCCCCACTTCCTCCCATTCAAAGTCCTCTTCCTCAAATGCTTCAAGCTTCTAGTCTGAATCAGAGTTCTCAGAAGGTATAGGGGCACTTGCTCAAAAAAGGCTCCACCCCATGCCCTGGGAACCTACCCCCCAATAAGCTGTATTGTACCCCACAGGTCATTACTATAGTGCAGGGGTCAGCAAACGTTTTCAGCAGGGGGCCGGTCCACTGTCCCTCAGACCTTGTGGGGGACAGGACTTTATTGGGGGGGGGGATGAACAGATTCCTATGCCCCACAAATAAGCCAGAGATGCATTTTAAATAAAAGGACACATTCTGCTCATGTAAAAACATGCTGATTCCCGGACCATCCGCAGGCCAGATTGAGAAGGCGATTGGGCCAGATCCGGCCCCCAGGCCTTAGTTTGCCAACCCATGCTATAGTATATGTGTGGGGTGTGTGTCTGTATATTTGCATACAAAGGGCCCTCTTCCATCCCTAACACTCCCAAAAATAGGATTTAGAGTAAGGTTACCAGATCTTTTTCAATGAATCTGGGGACACTTTTCAACTTCAATGGATTTTGTCAGGGAATGGATTTGTAAATCCAGGGACTGTCCCCAGGAAATGGGAATGTCTGGTAACCTTAATTTAGAGCAGCTTCCCAATGTATCCAACATATGTCTTCCCAGAGCCTAATTGCAGCACAGATCTAGCTATCTCTTCCCAGTCCTCTCACTGCCCTTCCACCAGGAATAGAAGGGTTATTTCAAGGCTAATCACATCAGAGGGGTCTAAACCACCACCACCAAAATTGAACTTAAAGCATGTCTTCTGTTTTAAACTTGATAGTTTTTATTCCAGGGTAACTGCAATTTGGAAGGGGTGATCCTAAACCCAGTTGCCGCAGAGTAAGCCCATTAGATTCACTAGGGCTTGCTTCTGAGTAGACATGCAAGGTAGCTCTCGGTCTTTTTATCTTCCAAATTGGCTCAAAGCTATTTCAGTATTTCCTCACCTGTTTTTCTCCTCTCTCACCCACCCCAAATAGGAAATTTAAGTCATGGAATGGAGAATCCAATATATCAGGTGAACGGAATCATGGGAGAATCAGTCTTGTTTCCTGCCAATGTATCTCAAGGAATAACAGTGGAGAAAATGGAATGGGACTTCTACCCCCAAAGGGGTGGCCTGGGCTTTTGGCTGGGGGAATTCAGCCACGGTAAGCTGGAGCACCCAAGTCCCACTGACCAGTTTGGACAGCGGCTAGACATGGTGGACGAGACAACACTGAGGCTCAAAGACCTGGAGTTGGATGACAGTGGGATCTACAATGCTCGCATCTGTTTATGAAATCACGGTTTCAAGAACAGAGTTTCAGCCTCACGGTCTATGGTAAGTAACTACTTTCCCTGTCCTGAATGCAGAGGAGGGCTACACAGATGATAAAGGGGAAAGTCGAGGGAGGTGGGTGTCTTTAGCCTGAAGAAGCGTCTCCACCCCATCGCTCTGCCCGGACACTGAGGTCCAGCGCCGAGGGCCTTCTGGTGGTTCCCTCCCTGTGAGAAGTGAGGTTACAGGGAACCAGGCAGAGGGCCTTCTCAGTGGTGGCGCCCGCCCTGTTGAGTGCCCTCCCATCAGATGTCAAGGAAATAAACAACTACCTGAATTTTAGAAGGCAGCCCTGTTTATATGGGAACATTCAGGGATGCAGGAGAGGATATATTGTCTGATTATATCCTTATCCAACTTGTGTTAACAAGTTTCCAATATCAGCAGAGTAAAACATTCCCCTTTATTTTAAGTTTGCAATGGTAGCGTTTGCTCAGGCTCGCTTAAGCCTCTATAATAACCACTCTGGTAATTTCCCCTTATTCCCCTCTTAAAATAGAAAAGACAACACAGTCTTTTACAAAAGTATAAAAAGAGTTTACTCACATTCTGTTCACAATCAGATCCCAGAAGGCAGACTTAGGCTTAATGAAGTAACATTCACTTGGAATCTATCTTATAAAAAGACAGTCCCTTTGTCCTCTCTTGGCTGGGAGCCAAGAGGGCATCTTTCGCTCAGTAGATGTTGTGTCTTCGATGCATGTGGTGAAAGAGAGAGAGATGGCTGCCCTGTCCTGTGCTTTTGTCATTGCCTGCACAGGTGAGGCAACACCCACCTCTAGTCACATGTGGAGAAAGTCTGTCCCAGCCCAGAGGGAAACAGGAAGTTTACCTGCTGGCTGGACAAACATCCCTCCCCATGTCAAAACATGTACACTCTAGGAATGTTGTACTTGACTGCTCTTGTGTTTCACATCCCACAGTTTAGGGAAGCTTTTAATATTTGACGGACTATTGTATTTTAATATTTTGTTGGAAGCTGCCTAGAGTGGCTGGGGAAACCCCAAGCCAGATGGGCGGGGGAAGAAGAAGAAGAAGAAGAAGAAGAAGAAGAAGAAGAAGAAGAAAAGGCTGAGAGTCATGGGTGTAGCCAAGGTGGTGGGGGCAAGGGGGCAGCTGCCCCACATATAAAGTAAAACAATAGAAATACTTAATTAACTGATCTATCATGTTGGTTCTGCCCCCTTAATAAAAGCCCCCCCCAATAAAAATCCTGGCTGGCTGAGAGGTGATATGACAGCTATCTTCAAATATTTGAAGGGCTTTCACATGGAATCTGAAACAAGCTTGTTCTCTGCTGCTCAAGATGAATGAATGAATTTAAATGAATAAGAAAGGAGATTTCTACTAAATCTTAGGAAGAACTTTCTGGCTGTAAGAGCTGCTTGGCGGTGGAATAGACTGCCTCAGAAGCTGGTGGACTCTTCCTTGGAGGTATTTAAGCAGAGGTTAGATGGTCATCTTCTAGGGATTATTTAGCTGTGATGCCTGCATTGCAAGCAGCTGGACTACATGACTTGTATTTTATAATAATGGAATGGGATTGACACCGTTTGGCTGGTTTCTGACAAGCATAAGGTGCAAACATCACATCTTTCCCATTTCTCTTCAAACAAGGCCCGTGCCAGAAACCTTCAGATATCTCCCCGAAGACGTCTCCAACAGCTCAGGCATTGGCGATGTAACCCTGCAATGGCAGGGTGTCTGGAAAGGGGGAATTTGACATCTCCTGGAAAAGAGGGGAACCCCTCAGAGACTTAGGAGTGGCTTGGATGGGTACCAGATCTCTGACAATGGCACCAGTCCTCCCATTTGTTGTGGTGGCCCAACCACCAGTGACTCCCACTTTCACCTGCCTGGTCAGAATCCCATTTGAGAGAAGGACGTCTCTTCAACTTGCTCAGCATCTGCCAAACTGATGATGAAGGTCAGTAATTTATTGCACCTTCCTCCAAACGATGCATTGCACCCCTTTACCCCATCACCCCAATATCACTGCTGGGGGTTGTGAATATATTGGGGCAGGGACAAGGCAGCAGTGGAGGGTCCATTCATGTCTTTGAGGAGTGGGACTCCCAGCCACAAGAATTTGGAAATCTAAGAAGAGGATGTGTTTTTAGAATTAAGAGGTAGAGGGACGCGGGTGGCGCTGTGGTTAAACCACAGAGCTAGGACTTGCTGATCAGAAGGTTGGTGTTTCCCCGCGACGGGGTGAGCTCCCATTGCTCCGTCGTGCTCCTGCCAACCTAGCAGTTCGAAAGGATGTCAAAGTGCAAGTAGATAAATAGGTACCGCTCCGGCGGGAAGGTTAACGGCATTTCCCTGCACTGCTCGGGTTCACCAGAAGCGGCCTTGTCCTGCTGGCCACATGACCCGGAAGTTGTACGCCGACTCCTCGGCCAATAAAGCAAGATGAGCGCCACAACCCCAGAGTCGCCAGGACTGGACTTAATGGTCAGGGGTCCCTTTACCTTTACAGTGGTAGAGCCCCTGCTTTGTTTGCAAGAAGGTCTCAGGTCCAATCCCTTTGGAATCTTCAGGCAGGGCTAGGAATAATAATAATAATAATAATAATAATAATAATAATAATATCTATTATTTATACCACGCCCATCTGGTTGCGTTTCCCCAGCCACTCTGGGTGGCTTTCAACAAAAGATTAAAAATACATTAAAACATCAGTCATTAAAAACTTCCCTAAACAGGGCTGCCTTCAGATGTCTTCTAAACTTCAGATAGTTGTTCATTTCTTTGACATCTGATGGGAGGGTGTTCCACAGGGCGTGTCACACCAAGAAGGCCTCTGCCTGGTTCCCTGTAACTTTGCTTCTTGCAGTGAGAGAACCCCAGAAGGCCCTCGGAGCTGGACCTCAGTGTCTGGGCAGAACAATGGGAGTGGAGATGCTCCTTCAGGTATACTTGGCCGAGGCCTTTTAGGGCTTTAAAGGTCAGCACCAACACTTTGAATTTGCTTGGAAATGTACTGGGACCCAATGTAGGTCTTTCAAGACCGGTGTTATGTGGTCTCAGCTGCCATTTCCAGTCACCAGTCTGGCTGCCATAGTCTGGATTAGTTGTATTTTCTGGGTCACCTTCAAAGGTAGCCCCACGGAGAGTGCATTGGAGTAGACCAAGCGGGAGATAACTAGAGCATGCGTCACTCTGGCAAGACAGTCTGCAGGCAGGGAGGGTCTCATCCTGCGTTTCAGATGGAGCTGGTAGACAGCTGCCCTGGACGCAGAATTGACCTGCGCCTCCATGGAGAGCTGTGAGTCCAAAATGACTCCCAGGCTGCACACCTGGTCCTTCAGGGGCACAGTTACCCCATTCAGGACCAGGGAGTCCCCCACACCCACCTGCCCCCTGTCCCCCCCAAAACAGTACTTCAGTCTTGTCCCCTACCCTAAACCTGGGAGTCTCTACCAGTCAGTGTAGGCCATATTAAGCTAGATAGACCCAATGGTCTGAGTCAGTACAGGGCAGCTTCCTATGACGGATATCTTCAAGACTCTGGTTTACGTGCTATTCCTACCATGGAGATGAATGTGTATCCCAGATTAAAGGATGATCTCCCGATCATAAAGTTTGAATCTGCACTTTAGTCACCCTTAGAGTAAACCCATGAGACCAATGAGCTTTTAGGTAGTCATGACTAAATTGGGTGACAGTGCTTTTAAGATTTATTTTCTAAGCCTGACTCACTCTCTGTCCAACCCTATGGATTCTACCCTGTTGAGCCTCTAATGCAGGGGCAGTCTGAGTGGAATCCCCCAGATATTACTGGATACCCAAGGTCCCATTATCCCTGACCTGCTGGCTGCTGAGGATGATGGAGTCCAACAGCACTGGGAGGGCCACAGGTCGCCTTCTGCTCCCCTGATGCCTCTTTGGAGTCACACCCCTCCCCCGCTTTAATCTCATTGCTTCCTGATATCCACAGAAGGGTGCTGACCTTGAAAGCTCTTAAACGGCCTCGGCCCAGTAGACCTGAAGGAGCATCTCCACCCCATCATTCTGCCCGGACACTGAGGTGCAGCACCAAAGGCCTTCTGGGAGGTCCCCTCCCTGTGAGAGCCAAGTTACAGGGAACCAGGCAGAGGGCCTTCTCGGTGGTGGTGCGCGCCCTGTGGAATGCCCTCCCACAGATGTCAAAGAAATAAACAACTATCTGACTTTTAGAAGACATCTGAAGGCAGCCTGTTTAGGGACGCTTTTAATGTTTCATGCACTACTTTTTTAATAGATGCTGCTTCTGCGATGCAAGCTCAAGAGGCCTCTCCTGCGCCCTTCCTCAGAGGGAGACCCACGAAAAGATGGTGATGACCTACTGAGATGAACATGCACAGTAAGGAAGGCTGGAGGACCAGATGAGATGTTTGGAAGTTACATAATACTATGGCATTATTTTTTAACATTTGTTAGATACTACTGGAGTAGTCAGGGCTTCTTCTTTTTTTCCAAGCCAGAACGCACCGGAACAGAGTTCATTTATCTATCACCTTGAAACACATTGCAGGGGGTTGGACCCGATGACCCTCAAGATCCCTTCCATCTCTTCAAATTCTATGATTCTATGAAACAATCATCTGAGGAAAGTGGTTGGCTACTAGCCAGGATGGCTATGCTCTGCATCCGTGGTCAAAGGTAATAATGCTTCAGAATACAAGTTGCTGCAACCTGCAGGAGGGGAGAGTGTATCAGTTTGATTTCATAATACCAAAAGTATTGATCTGATGAGTAGAGATCTTTCCTGTTTCTAATTATTCAGAGGGTTTGGAAGCTTCTCTGTGTGAAAGAAGCAAGCACAAGGTTCGTGGATGTTTGGGTTATTCCTTCAGGAAGCTGAGACAAGCTTGCTTAAACTGGTTCTTTATTCTCTTTCTGTCAAAGTCATGCTGATTATAATAGTAAGGCCAGACAGAGGCTGGGTTTCATTCTTTTCTATCTTATTTTCT